GACTGGACTGTCTCAGAATTTTGTTCATTCTTTTGTTGTCTGTTCACAAACGCCCCCATAGAATTTATTTTGTGGTTTCCTAGCTTGATTTTCTGTTTTGGTGCATGATTTTCGCTTTTCTAGTGTCACTGTAGTGATCATGAATTTCCGTTTTTGGAGACTGTCTTTGAACGCCTCTCGAGTCGAAGAGAGGAGAGAAGGCACGGAGTCGGACGCAGATGTGTCTGTGTTTGTCGAGACTGTTAAAAGCATAAATAAGGTGTACGTTTTAAAAAACCAACACCCCAGCTCTCCTTTTTTCGCAGCTGCAACGTGTATCTATATATGAGCTATATTAGCCTATCAAAATGACTGTTTGCTCCAATTACACGATGAGCCGTCATGATTAAATGTTTTTTCCCCCTGTAGTGCATTCTGTAGAGCAGGGGTGCCCAACCTTTTTTGACTGAAGATCTACTTTTCATTTAACCAACCTACCGCGATCGACCCGCGCATACACAACACACAGACTCATGCCTACCCCCCATAGAATATTTTGTGATTTCCTCTCTTGATTTTCTGTTTGGCGAATTATGTTTGCTTTTCTGATTGTCTTTGAAGTCATCATTGATTTACGTTTTTTTTTTGGGGGGGGGGGCGGCGTCATTGAACGCCTCTCGAGCAGAAGACACGGAGACGGAGAAGGACGTGCCTGTAGTTGCTTAAGTTAAACAAATTAATAATGCGTATGTTTTAAAAAGAACCAACAAGACAGCTCTTTGTTTTCTATCGTATTGCACCACGGCCGCAGAAACTGCCGTGTGAACGCGAGTGGGGCTGCACCGCGGTAAACACGCTTCGCTTTAGTCAGCAGCTTTTTACGTGTGAACGCTCCACAGAATTTGCCCCAGTGTAACATATATCGCAACAAAATACGTCGGTGCAGCACGGATGCAAATGTGTGCCGTGTGAACACCCCTTCTCTCTCTCTCTCTCTCTCTCTCTCTCTCCCTCTCTTTGTTGTTGTTTTTTTTTTTCACGTGTCTGAAGCTAGGTTTGGCAGTGGCTTAGCTACTGTGCTCAGAGAGGGAGACAGGATGAGATAGGGGAGGGGCTTGGTAGGTACTGCACAGAGTGCATGCTGAGTACATGTTCCGTCTCGTCTGCGCAGACATTTAAGTTTGGGCATATCTTGAAGAACCACACATTTCAAGGGCAGCTGATCCACTGAGCTGGTGGAAATACCAAGCTTCCGTCTACCCCCGTTTGATCAAAGTAATGGAGAGTAGATTGTGCATTGTAGCAACATCTGTACCATCAGAGAGGGTGTTCTCAAAGACTGGACAAATAATTACTGAGAGAAGGAGCCGATCAGCCTGTCCAAGTTGAAGTATTTAGTTTTGTTGAATGCAAATTAATAAAGCAAGGAGTAGCGTATGTTTGTTAAAATAAAGCAAGGAGTAGCTTATGTTTGTTTTGTTCGTTGTTGCAGTTAATACTATTTTTGTTATGATGCAGCATGTTTGTTGAAGTTTAATTTTGTTGCTTGTTTATTGTTTGGAGCCCTTTAAATGTTCAATAAAATAAGTAAAAACCCATTTCTTTGCTTGATAATTGTTGCTATTTGCAGTCAGTAGAGTGCAATATTTAGTTCACCAAGTAATTTATCAAAATGTATGCTAAATTTGTCATAAATATTTAAAAGAGCCGTTTGAGAGCCAAAAAGCGCCGGCTCTTTTCACCGAGCCAATCCAAATGAACCAGATCACCGAAAAGAGCCGAAAATCCCATCACTACTTGAGGCTATGACGCAATCTTCGTTGACAGAAACGTTGAAATGTAATATTTATATTCTACACATTTTTACAGCATTGGGAAACGTGAAGAATGTTTTTACTCCTACAGAAACCTGATTTAAAACAAAAAATGAATTTCCCTCCCACATCTTTTTCCATTTTCAAACATTTTTTATAAAGCTCCAGGGAGCCACTAGATGGCGCTAAAGAGCCGCATGCGGCTCTGGAGCCGCGTATTGCCGACCCCTGAGTTCGGAGATCATTCTCTCCTTCTCTCTCTCTCTCATTGACTAATAAGGTGAGGAAATGTACTGTAGATGGGCCAAAGTGGATCAGCACCAGTGTTGTGTCCAAGGACCGGCAACCCAAGGCCAAGGACTTGCCTCCGAGGCCAAGGCCAAGGACTTGGAAAATTTTCCGAGGCAAGGCCAAGGCCAAGGACTTGAGAAATTTTCCGAGGCCAAGGACCAAGGACTTGCTTCCGAGGCCAAGGCCAAGGACCAAGGACTGATTTTGAAACTGAGGCCTAGCCAAGGACATGTATAAAACAATGCTATCATACCACTTGGCAGGTCCTCATGATTTGCAACACCCCTCCATCATAACCCTTTGCACTCCCTAATGCTTGAATGAAGTGTTTTTATTCAAAGAGTAGAACAGTCAGGGTACGTGTTATTTATACTGAGAAAAAGAAATAAAATCATATGATATACATTTATGAATTAATGTTTTAGTGCAGTAGTTTCTTAATATGAAGTAAATCAACACTCAACAGGCATCACATGGCACGGAACACAAGTTGAGAAATGACTTTGCATAGAAGTCAATCACTGACTGCAGAAAAAGCGGTAATCTCTCAGTGATCATTTTACAGTTTACCTGCAGCGAGTCCCAGGGACTCACTGATCAGAAAAGTATGAGTCCCATTATGCATTGAGAGAGTCCCAAATTTCGAATTCCGAAATGGTCTACTTATTCAATTGCATATGATAATAACACAAACAACAACATATACATACAATTATAAACAAATGCTGCAAAAATTTAAATAATTCAGGAGCAGGCCTGAGGATTTCGGAAATTCATGGTAACCGTTTTTCGGTTCCGTCGGATTACCCAATGGGAAACCACGATAACT